CTTTAAGGTTGTTGGTCATGACAAGTGAGTGGCTCTGGTCATCTTTGTGACTGTTGTACTAGACCTGTGTTGTTTCTGATGGCATGCTGGATAACACATTTTTAACTGCCTTGTGGGATACAAAATCTCTTACGTAGCAGCTCCTGCAGTACTTAGCTTCATGTTAGATGTTTGAGTGAAGAAGGCTGTCAGTCATACAGATGCAGTGGATGTCTTCGTCTTTCCCAGAAGGCCAGACCAAGCTCTGCACCAGATCTGGTGGTAAAATGTCTCCTGGTGATGTGCCTCAACCTGGGGAGTCTCCTGCATGAGGGAGTGGAGATGGCAGAGGTGGATGCAGTGAGCTTATCCAGCAGCCCTCATGTACTTTGTTACTGTACTGCACGGCTTAAACAAACTCAGGCCCTGCTGCTCTGGCTTTAATGATCTAGTGACCACAGATGAGGAATTAGTGTGAAATACACAATGTATATAATCCCAATAATAAGGGATACAATCCATTTGTTGCAATTGTTATGTGTGTCTGAGATATTTGCCAATTAAAAAAAAAAAAAAAAGTGTATGGATTTTTATGCTTAATTACTTAATTCTTTGTTATAAAATAATTGACATCTAGAAAAGCAGTGTAGTTTTCCCAGGGAAAAAAGAGAGGAAATATATGCTTATGAGCCTGTAAAATGGACTAGATATAGATTGGCAACATCTTAGAAACCCTTTCACAATATATCCTCTTATTGTTAAAACAACAATTATGTGGTTTCAGCTTGGCAAATGTATGCCTAAAATTGAAATCAGAAGTAGTAAATGAGACTAACAGTGTATATACATGTTTGCAGGTTTGGACCCACAATATTTCAGAGCTTTTTACCTCTCTAAAGCTGACAAGGAAGATGAACCTAGTTTAAACCAAGACAGAGAAAGTACTGTTTATTCCCTTTTCATCCCTGCACAGCCCACACACTATTGGAAATTGGAGGTTTTGTGTTCTAGAAGCTAAAACAGTGTTTCTGCTAACATTGGATTAATCAGTGCATGCTATGGCAGCTTCGCAGGTGGAGTGTGAGTAACAGGAAAGTAGCCCTTATTATGTAAGCAAGCCTGCTGCTTCTTGAGGAAAAGAAGTCAGAACTTCCTGCCTCTTCAAAAAAAGAAAAAAAAATCAACTCTTCAATTTCCAATCTTTTTTTTTTTTAATTGACAGTTTGTTGTTGGAATTAGTAGTAGGACTCATTTCAAAAAAATTTTAGCTTGGTTTCCCAAATAAATGAGGCCTAAATAATCTGTTTTTTTTTTTGTCTGTCTTCTTGTCCCCTTCTTCTTCCAGAACTCTTTGTTGCTTGGTGCCAGCAAAAGTAGATGAGCACAAATCTCGAACCGTGTGTCCAGAAGGTTTGTGGAAATTGCCTTTTGAATCAGGGATCACGAGGGTCCTAGAGCTAGTGTTGCAGGTTGGCCCAGTGACCTGATGGCAGTTGGCAAGTACCTGGCCTCTGTATGTATGGCAGCTGGCTGTCAGCCTGGCATAGCTCTGGGCTGACCACAGTGCTGGTGCTTGATTGGAGGGTGAGAAAACAGATCTAGGGAGTATGCAGAGGGGAGCTGAGGGTGCTGCAGGTAAGGAATGAATGAAGGGCTCTGTGATTTAAATTTGTAGGGAATCAGGCTTACTCCAGAGTTTGGTAGACAGCTAGCTGATCTATGTGAATATTCACAGAAGTGTAGGGATTGGAAGGAACTTCTGGAGATCATCTAGTCCAGCCCCCAGGCATTCAGTTTGTAGTGTGCAAGGTCTGATGGTGTCTCATAAAAATAATCAGCTCATGAGTCATTAGCAGCCTGCTTTCTGTTTCCTTGGGAATGTTTTTTTTTCTTTTTTTGATAGCTCCTCCCTGATGTGTCAGCAACTATTTTGTCATAGTATTTCAACCCTCTTCTATAAGCATCTGTGCTATCCAATTCTTAAATTTCTTTTTTTTTTCTTCTGAATTTGGGAATTTTTGCTACTTGTTTTAGATGTTTCCAAGTAGCATACATTCACCTGCCTAACAGTGATGGAGAATTGTCATAGATGTGATGAGACCCTAGCTCACTTAATAGTCCTATCTAATGAAAGGGTAGAATAACTCTCTAAGTGGATTATTCTTGAAATTTAGGAAAGTCTTAGGCAGAGCTAATATTAACACAGATAGTGTAGATAATGTGGTAAGCAATTTTACAGAGCTCTCTTCAGTGCTTTTCTTTAAGGCTGCTAGAAATTTAAGCTATAGAGTCTTCCTGGTAATAGCCAGTGTGCTGGCAATGCCTGCCCTTCATGGGTAGATCTAGCTTAAAATGATCTTTTTTCACTGTCTCCCAGCTGCACTATTCTTTTTATGGTCCTTTTATGACTTTCTGATCTGTGTTATCTTTGTTTTCTGTTTATGTTTAGGCTAAAATATTTTCACGTGAGAATTCAGTGATCTGGTCTTGATCTGCTCTTTCTTTCATTCAGCTGTTAATTAGCACTGCGGGCATTCGATTGCATTAAGAATGCATTCTCAAAATGCATTCTTTGTTGGCTGTATAAAATAAGCTACAGAATCGTGTTACTCAACCTATTATTGTAATACACCTACTAACAGCATTGGTGGATTTGGCCAAACTTTCTTTTTTTCAGGCTACTACTTGCATGAATTTGCTTAATTTTCTTATTCTGGGATGAGGATTGTGCCTTTTAGCACCAAGTAACCTCACATTCATTACGTGCAGAACCAAGCTTGGTTTGCTTTGATTTTTTTGTTTGTTTTGTTTCAGTGAGAAGCAGATTGAGGGATATAGTGGGAGCATCTACCAACTGGAGGTACAGTGTATATTGAACATATTTTACTTTATTTCTTAAACCCTGAGGGAGCACAAAGTTGTGGTATTAGAAATAATAATAATCGTGAGGTGATGGGAAGAAAACAAGATTGAAACTAAAAAGTAATGCAAACAAAGTTTCAAATTGTTACTTTGTGAATCACAAACTTCTTGGATTTCTCTGGCAAATCTTCCGCACCAAGGGAACAAAATACATGAGCTTGATGCTTACAAGATTCTCCTGTTAACTTGGAATCTGATGGAAATTTAAAAGCGTTAGAGCTGTACTAGAAACGTTATGTTGCAATTTTCTCTTATCTCTTGGTGGATTATCCTCATGGTGGATTTATGCTGTACTGGATTTGTAGGCAACTGTGTTGGTTCTACTTGAAGCAGGCTGTGCTGTGAATGGCCTGGCTGCATCCATGCAGCCATAAGAGTGTAACCTTGTATCTGGGGCATTTTCTCTCTCTCTGCTGTAACTTAACTGTAGATTAATTTACATTTCATTTGCGTCATCTTAAGTTTTGCCTTTATCCAGGCTACCTGCCTCCCCCTCTACTATCTTGGATAAGCCGGAGTTTATTATAATCCTGTAGCTCTGAAGAGTTCTGAATAAATCAGTGTAACAATCAGGGGAAATTTTGTTGCTGATTGGTTGGTTCCATGTTTATTTTCCTGATCACTGATTTTCTTATGACTATATTTGCTGAGCTCATTTCACACTTAGTGCACTGATAAGGAAATGTGGAGAGGCTTGCCTCGGTGGAGTAACTGATATATCCTCGCTCTCAACTAGTTTTATCTGAACAGTATTATAGGCACACTGAAGAAAATACCTGTGGGGCTGGTTTTTAGTTGGTAGAACTGATAACCAAGCATGGTGGGGCTTGAAATTTGTGGTAGGTCACCTGATAATGCGTTGAGAAGTTGATAGAAGTCTTCCCCTCAGCCCAGAATGGCTAAGGAGGAAATGTGCTATATAAATACTGTCTGAGGGTCAAAGCCTTACGAGGCTCTGGACAGATCTAATTCTCTATCGTTTCTTTTCCCCCCACTGACACCCAGTCTGAAAGGAGAGCTGGCTAAAGCCAGGATCACCACAGCAGTGTTTTTCTTATATAGGCACATTTCTTGTGCTGTCTAAAAAACAACATAAGTGGTTTGCAGGGCACTGTACACTTCAGCTGTCATGCAGAAGTAAGGTCGTGGGGCCCATAGTTGGGAGTGCTGGAGAATGACAGGCTTGCTGTGTGGGAAGGTTTGTATGTAAGAAGGCCTGTAAAATTGGTCTGGAATACAGGCTAATGTCAGATTAATGGGATGACTACATGAACTGTAATGAGGTCTAATGTAAAATTGTAGCCATTTCTGCAAAATGACACTATTTGTTTCTGAATGTTTTGGGCAGTTATTAGCTACTACTTAAATTGATTATTATTGCTGTATGACTGATACTGCAGTAGGTAGAAGTATTATCAGTTGAAAAATATTATTGCCTTGAGCTCAATAGTTCTGTATATTGAAGAGTACATTCTGAAGCTGAAGTTCTGCTGCTGACTCAAAGGAGCCTGGAAGGCACTGGTGAAAACGGAATGTAGTTGGAATTTTGTTTTTCATGTGCTTGTAGGCAAATTTTTGATTGCTTCTGATTAATTTCTCTTAAACCTTTCACTGAAATTGAAAGAATACAAATATTTTTTTAAAAAAAGCTAACGTAAAGGTGTATGATCTTGGATACTGCACCTTTTCATGGTCAACTGGAATATTCCATTTCTACACAATGGTGTGTAGAAATGTGGTGTAACTTAGAAAATAGTAGATTTAGAGTGGGTTGTTATCTTCTCTCTTTTTCTGAAGTCTGTGGTAGTCATGTTGCCCAAATGAGGTAAAACATTTCATTTTTTTTAAACACTAAAAAGAAAAAAGACACTTTTTACTAAACTTCTACTGTTTTTGATTATGTAGTATTACTGCTTTCTTCCTCTCCTCAAACGTAAAAACCCAAGCCAAAAAAGTCATTATCTCACAGTATGATTAGTACTGAAAATTAGTCCAAAGCCAAAACTTAAGAAAAACTTTTTTTTTTTTGTGAAAAAAGTTCTTCCTTTTTTTTTTTTTTATTTATTTTTTATTTTTTTAATATATATATTTTTAATTGACTTTGTTAAACGGAATGACACTCAAATCACAGCAATGCAGCATGCACTACTGAATGAATGGCACATATCCACTACAAGTTTACAATTAAGTTTGGTTAGTGTTTTATGCCTTCTCATGCACCGTGAAGTGAAATAAGTTAATAGTTGTGCATACATGTCTTGCTTTACATCTGAAATGTCGTGTGCTTAACCCTGAGTTTTCTAATGTTTTATTGCTGATTCAAAGGATGTTGTGAACTACTTGCTTTATGCAGTTAGGCTGCACTATTAAGGTGAGGATGTTTTGGATGAACAGGTAAGAGAATATGATGGGCAAGGTTGTTGCATCACAGATGATTGTGCAAGGAATCAGCCTGGAAGATTGGAAGGAAATGACAGTAAGTTGGCTGCGCTGCCTTGTGAGACTTGCAGCTCCTTTGGACACGGAGGGGTTGGAAAAGTAACTGAATTATTGCTCCCTTTTCTGTATTATTTCTTTTTTACAACTTTCCGGTTTAGCTGTAAGATAACTGAATAGAAAGAGAAAGGGAAATACCTAGATTAATTCTCGATTTTTTTGTGTGCTGGTTAAGTTTGTGCTGCATGAATTGATGTTGAGAGGGAAGAAATCATCTGTAGATGACAGCAATTCTTAGCAGATTAGTTCTCTTAGTACTTAGTACTAACCAGTACATCTCCTTTACTTCTTGGGTGAGATTCTAAGTTGACAGTCCTCTAAAACTGACGGGGTAGGAAGAGTTGTAGTACAGTAGCTATGGAAGACATGATAGGCACAAAACATTACAGCTTCAATTATATGTAAGCTATGTTTTTTGTTTTTTGTTTTTTTTAAACTAAGTTGTTCTCAAGGAGAATCAGTTTTGTAGCACTCAGAATTGGATGTGTTTTGTTCATCTCTTTATTGTAAAGTATATGCTTGCCACTGATAGATGAGACTGCTTAAACCTTTCCTTCAGTAATCTTGCTTTGTAAATTAATTTATGTGCCTTTTGCTTTCTTCTAAAGACACACTTGTTTTGCCTTAGAATGTTCAATTATTTTTTGTTTTTCTTTTGGTTATGTGAGATCTGTTAGCTAGGGTTTCAGCTATCGAGTATACTGTTGTCATAATCCAGAGGGTGTATGTTTCCTTGCCAGAGATCATGTGCAAGCAATGCAAGAAAGAAAAGCTCTTCACACATTACTGGCAAAACGGCAAGAAGATCTCCCTCCTAGAAGAATGAAAGATAGCTACTTGGAAGTTCTTCTGCCTCTAGGAAGCCAACCTGAAATACGAGAGAAGTATCTGAATGTACACAACAGTGTAAGGTAACAAAGCAAGTATATTACACCTACAATAAAGTGTTAACTTTGATGTAGTATGGATTCATTTATTTAATTATAAAAAAAATGTATCTTACAGGTTTGGAAGAATACTTGAAGATCTTGACAGTTTAGGAGGTGTGTATGTGAGCCTGTGAAAAGAATATGGTAATAATGCAAAGAGAGTAAGTTTGAGTACTGCTTGTTATAATACTATATGTCCACAGAGAGGGGATCACATCAATATGATGTCCTTCTCTAGGGAGAAGAAAAAAAAGATACCAATACTGAAAGAGATGGAAATCCCAGAATCATAGGGTTTGGAAGGGACCTCTGGAGATCACCTAGCCCAACCTCCTGCTAAAGCAGGTTCCCTAAGCACATGAAGGCATAGGGGCATTGGACCACCTGCAGAGAAGGAGACTTCACCACCTCTCTGGGCAGCTTATTCTGATCAAGTCATAAGATTTTGTCTTTGGCAATGGGATTCTGATAAATCCCATTCAGACTCTTATTAACTGAATTGATGCCATGACTGATAGGCATAAAAGTTGTTAGAATTAGGGAATTCTAGGGAAAGAAAACCTTGCATTTCCTGGATATCTCCTGGACAGAGATCTTTTATCTCATTAAGTACGAAGAAATAATTTTGAAAACTGTACTGAATGAGAATCAATTGAATATTAAGAAAAATATCTTTGCAACATTGTTACTCTGAGTCTGTTTACTTGCATGTACTCTTCTGAGCAAAGCTAATTGAGTTAAATAGTCATTTGGTGGCAGATATTACAGTGTGATAAATACTTCCAAGTATGACTTTATGCCTGTGAAGCGTAGCTTATCTAATCTGCACATCTTTAAAAGAATCAATATTTGAAAACAAGTCCTCAGATAGTATGTTTCCCTGAACAACCTGCGTGAAATCAAAATAGGCAGTGAGAAGGTTATGAAGGATCTGTGGCAGACAGCTGCAGGGATAAGGGAACAGATGAGGTGGGAATGGAAGGAGTGGAGTAACAGGTTGATTTAAATTTCTCTTTATAGTAAGTAAATATGCATATAACTGACACAGCTGCTAAATTACTGCCTTTTTTTTTAATAGCAATCCCATGAATTATACACATGAAAATGTGGATGTTGTGCACTCCTGTAATATGATACTTCAGTTTGTGTTTTGTAGGTGCTGCTTATGCTTCACAAAGATGGTTTTGATCTCTTTTGCTAAAGTTCTTGTTTAAAAACAAAAAAAAACAAAACAAAGAACAAACAAAGAACAACAAAACCCAAGAAAACTAAGATCTGACTCCATTTTGGTCTCTTCACAGTTCTTATTTGCTACACTCACACCAAGCAGGAAATGCAGCCGAGGTCTCCCTTATCCATAGTTACAGCCCTGGTAGATAAAATCAGTAAGTGGCAATTCGATCAGTAGAAACATTTTCATCTGTTTATCTTAGTTGCTCAGCAGCTACTGTGTTGCCATGATTGTTACTGAGGATAACTTCTTCCCTCTCCTATTGAATTCACTTTATACTGGTTTGGCTTTGAATTCTGGAATGCTCAGGGTTTTCTTGAAGGGAGGAACAGAAGAGGATGCTTGTCAGAATTTCATATTTCTCTACCTTTAAAAACACAACTTTATTGTCTCCTGCGCTTCTGTGTTTGGTTTCGTATTAGCATGTGCATTTCTTAGCTTTGTTATTAAACAGTGTTTGTTCTGGTGGAGCTGGGCCTCACTCCTGTCACGTTCTGCTGAACCCCTCTGTGGGTCAGCCATCTGTCTGACAGATGCATGCTTGTTTCCTCTTTTTGTTTTAGTAAAAACAGGTAAAGCAGAAACTGCAGTGTTGTCCTTTGCAGCTCCTATCTTTTCTGACTTTTCTTCACGTGCTGCTTACGTAACGCAGAAACACGCATCCTAGAAAAAACAGTCTTTCTAATATTAGATATGAGTGAGTTGTCTCCAGCAATGTCCAATGTTTGTCTTGTAGATTTGTGCAAGAAAGTCATATATCCGGACTGTGACATCAAATTTACAGGCAATGTTTCTTGGGTTGGGAAGACCTCAATGGAAGTGAAGATGCACATGTTGCAGGTTAGTTCCTGTGCCTTCTCTCTCTGCTATGACAGTCACAAGTTGCTGCAGAGTGAGTTCTGGGTGATTACATTAGCAGTCTAAATTACATTTTCTAAAATGACCAAGATGATTTCCATTGGTCTAGGTGCAGCACGGTACTCTTCAGTACATTAATTTTTCTTAAGCAGCATTTTCTAATTAACTTTGAGAACGGTATATTCATAAAGACAAAATGGGTGGCTCTAATGTAGAAAATAATGTTACACACTGCATCCCAGTGCTTAGAGTGGTGCCAGTTTGGCATTGATAACAAATTGTTGTTTTGTCGTTTCTCAGAATAAAAGGTAAGTCATTTTACAGTGCCTATGTTGATTTTGTTCTATTTTATTTATTTTATATTTTTCCCAGATGCAAATAGTAGATAATTAGCATTCTTCTGCTTAATGTTTTTGTTGCAGAATTCCTGAGGCTGGAGTTTTGTGTTCTTTTCTGTTTGACTTTTTGTGAGAGGTTTTAGATGACAAACTGAAAATTAAGTGCAGTTGCATAGGTGATGTCAGCTGAATAGCTTGCTAGAAACCTTTTGAATTTAAGAATTTAAGATATAATTGTTTCCTGTCTCTCTCAGCTACACGATGGTGATTACAGCCCTGTGTTAGATGCAACCTTTGTCATGGTGGCCAGGGATCCAGAAAACAAACGGTAATTTGTAGGACAAAGAAACAGTCTTAACAGACTGCTATTGTGGTGAAAGTGTGAAACATGGCAGCTGTGTATGTGTGAAGCTGTGCAGAGCGGGCTATAAATGAATTGTATAGTTGATATATCCTCTTGGCAAATGCTACTTTGCTAGAGCAAGCTTCAGAGCATTGAATTTAGGAATCAGATGACGCTAGGAATTGCTCCTAGCCATGTGGTCTGTCCCTTTTTTGTGTCAATTTTCCTCTGTTTGAATGACTGTCCTCATGAAAATAGAAACTCCCATGTGTTATGCAGTGATAGAATTAATTGCTTTCTTGCCTAAAAACTGAAAGATTGAGTCTCAGTGGTTCAGAGCCTCAGAGTAGTTGAGGCTGACAGGGCCATCTGGCTCCAACTGACCCAACCTGTGCCCCAGCAGGGACACCACAACAAGGTGCCAGGCCCACATCCAGGCAGCTTTTGAATATCTCCCGAGAGAAGACTGCACAGCCTCTGGGCAGCCTGTGCCAGTGCTCCATCCGCTGCACAGCACAAAAGTGCTGCCTGGTGTTCAGCAGGAACCTCCTGTGCTCCTATTTATGCCTCTGGTTGTCGCAATGGGCACTTGCTTTAGAAATGGGTTGAGAACAACTAAGGAGAAATGTGCATGGGTTTATGCAGGTAGCTTAAGTCTTCTTACAGACTTCAGTGACTGTTCTTCAGGCCAGCTGGCCACAAGCCAACTGTGTTCAGAAAGTATTCAGTGTGAGATAAAAGCCCTTCAAAGAGGTACAGAGTGTGCTAGGTTGGGTATAGTGCCACAGAAGCATGGCTGTGTGGCTTTTGGACCATAGCAAACTTGCCTCTCAGCATCTTGGGGCTTTGACAAGAGAACTGATGGAGAGGGGTCCTGAGCTGGAAAGAGAGAGAATGAGCTGTGCAATAGATGCAGGGGCTGGTGTGTCCCAACGATCCAACATTACAACAAACCAGGGGAAAAGAGCAGGCAGTTCCAAGTGAGAAGTCTCCTGCAGGCTTTTTGTTACCAAAAGATAAAGACTGAGGGTGGAGATGAATTACTTGGCAGATTTGCATGTTTCTGTGTGTATGTATGTGTATGTATATGAGTGTGTGTGTCTAAACATATATTCTGAGCATTTGTTTATATATATGTTTAAAATACAAAAAAATAATCTGTGGAAATTACAGGGATGAATGGGTCTTGAAAATAAGCTTTTGCCTTGCCTTGTGAAAAGGAATAATTAAGCTTTTTACAACTACGTTAAAGTATATTTATTTGTTCAGTTAAACAGACATAGGAATTAGGACTCAAGGCAGCCTCACACAATCTTCTTTGATAAGCAGTGCACATGTAAACAGCTTTTGGCTGTTGATAAGGCTGTCATGGAATGTGTAGATTATAAGAAATTTTGCTAGCTACAGCACTATGTTGTTTCTATTCCAAAAGGAATGTTACTGTTAAGTTTTGTGCACCTGTTTTAGACTGTGCTAGATCACAACTTCTTCAGAAAACTGTTGAGAAACTCAGCAAATACTTTGATCTTCCACATAATCTGTGGATACAGGTTTAGCTCCTTAAGAAGCATTGCTGCATTAGTTATTTTTTCTTAATTATGCTTGATTGTGGTTGGCTCACTTCACTGCCTCTTCAGGACTGAGGTGAATGTGATGTACTGTGAGCAGCTGCCATACTATGAAATAATAGAGTTTACTTCTGTGATATAATCTGAAGTACATCTTTTAATCTTATAGCATGTTTGTAAACACAAATGTGTTTACACTTAAAATGTTTTCATGGGACAAACTCTTTTATAGTCTGTAACTTACCAAATAAGTCTCTGTCCACAGGCCAGCCTTTGTTAATCCACTTGTTCCTGAGAGCCCTGAGGAAGAAGAAATCTTCAAGCAAGGAGAATGTATGTTGTATTTCTTACCAGAATGCAATTTTGCCTCAGCTCCAGTTTAGTAGCTGGAAGGAAATAAGCTGCAGATGTTCTGCTTCTTACAAATGGTCCTAATTTGTTTAAAACCAATTTTTTTTGTCATGTCTCTTGTGTCAATATTGCTGAGAGTTTCAAAGCCTGCTGTCTCATTTTTGGAAGCTCTTTAGCTAAACTGATGGGCAAGGATGCTCCTGGTGTACACTGCCCCCCACGCTTCTATTTCCAGGCTGCTACCTTGATGTCAGCACTGAGAGGAACGTGGGCTTAGTGGTTAGTTGGTTGTCCCCATGGTGGGTCTGCTGGAGTACATCACAGCTCCTTTTCTGTCTGGGTGCCCGTGAACCTTTAGGAAAGACACTAAGAAAATAGAGGGAAGAGTAGAAGTAGTGTAGCTGCATCTTTTTTTTTTTTTTTTAATCACAAATTTCCATTTGTGTACCATTGGCAAAACCTGAGGAAAGTTGTTTTTTTCTGTAGTGTTCCTTACTTGATATGTCTTTCTGTTCTTCAGGTAGAGTACTTAAATTCCCTGTAAGAGGTGTGGATATTATTCAAGAGGTCTTTATTTTTTCTTAGTTGCAGTCAGTTCTAAAAGCCAAATTTCTATTTTGAGTCTAGTAATGTGAATCTCTAGCTTTTAATTTAACGGAGGAAAAAAAGAGAGGAAAGTCAATTGATTCAGATTAAAATCTCCAGAGCCAAATCAGGTAGCTTGTTTTCTTTTTCCTTTGAATTCTAATATACCAATGTATTTTCTGCTTAGTGAACAAGTTGAAGAGGATTGATTTCAGCACTGCTTCCTTACTGAAAATGGCTCCCACTGCAGAAGAAAGAAATGTCATTCATGACATATTCCTTAATACACTGGACACAAAGTAAGGAAGGGAAGGGTGGAGGAGAAAGAAAGTCTCAAGAAAGAAAAGCAATGCATGTTTTGAGTGGGCTGTTTGTGGGTAGTCTGGTATGAAGTCATACATTTTGCTTTCCCATTTCACCATTTTAACTCTGGGGCATTTTACTTGGAAATGCAGGCACAAACTTTCATATCCAATCTACACTTCTTGAAAGAGTCCTTCATCATCCAGGAGTGTTAGCTGTGCTAAGCTGATGGAAGTGTTAGCACAAAGAACTTTTGAGCAAGCTGTTACGAATAATCTCAAGGAAAGAGGTTAATGATGTTTATCCAAATAAGGGAATTGGATGGTTTTACAGCTGTGTGACTTGCACAATGCAGGAGTTTTCTGCATTGACAGAAAAACCTCTTTCAGGGCAGGACTTGACCATATTTAAATCAGGTAACCTCGTGATGCAGTTAAGGTATAATACCTGCCAACACTTTTGGAATGAGATTTCTGTGAAATTGTCCAGTGCACGTGGTTGTAGAAAAATGTGCAATAACACCAGTGCACTGTTGTATTTGTGGATAATTTCTTTACCTTACTAGCATTATACAATTGTTACTTTTTGAGCTGTTTACCACAGTGAGACATACCTTCCATTAAAACGAACAGCTGTGCTTTGTACACATTCTGCCTGAATTTGAACAGCTCCAACTCTCTATATACTTGATGCTGAATTTCTCTTTGATCTTATTATGTGCTTTTAATTCATGGTGTGACTTAATGAGCAATGTAGAGCTTTTGTGGAGAAGTGTATACTTTGTGACTATCTTTTCTTTCATGTACATTTTTCTTGTTGAGATTGATGGTTCACATGGGCTTGGACATGAGCAGACATTTCTGCAAGATGAGAAGTGTAGGCTTTATGATGCCATAACAAATCAAGAGTATCGTTTTAGATAAGGCTTCAGGATCAGTTGGAGCTGCTTTCAGTGACAGCATTTCTTGGTGGTTGTGTTGTTTTTTTTTTTGTGTGTGTGTGTGCATGTGCATTTGCTTCTTGTGCATTTGCTTCTTGTGCATTTGCTTCTTGTGCATTTCTGACTTTCTGCATTCTGTTAATGTAGGTTATAAAGTGTATTGTCTCATCCATAGGACAGTAAGTTTTCGGAGTCGTATATTGCCACCCAATTCAGTGTGGATGGAAGATGCAAAGCTAAAGGGCCTACAGATTTGCCATCCTCAGGTATTTTGAAAAATATAAATAATTTACAAAAACATTTACGTACTGAATTATGATTTGTCTTTTAAGACTACTCAATCCATTATTTTGTTTAGGTTCTGCAGTCCTTCCAGTGTATTTACATTTTAGTTTCTTTTGCCATTTTTCTACTAATAGAGAAGAAAATCCATAATTTAGAATAGAATAGAAAATATTTATATGGATTCCCACTGCAAAATAGAAGATTTTTCATTGCCTTTTTTTTCCTACCAGACTGTTCATTTTGTCTAAAGAAAATCATTTGGAAATTACTTAAGTTGGACTTCCAGTTGATGACAGTTTTGAGTTTTTGTCTTATGTCATATGAGTAAAGTTGCCTAGGACATTTGGACTTCTGTGTATGTATTTCAGTATTGTTCCTCATGCATTCAGAAACTCAGAGTTGAATTGAGATGCAGTCTTCAACACAGCACTTTGAGAAAAACAGATGTGATATAGCAGTTTGATTTTTTTTTCTTTTTTTTTTTTTTCTGTATGCAGGAGAGGAACATCTTCAACAGGATCTTTGGGGGCTTCCTAATGAGAAAGGCATTTGAACTGGGATGGGCAACTGCTTGCAGCTATGGGTGAGTTGCAGACTTGCAGTATGTATACAATCATAGAATGGCTTAGGTTGGAAGGAACCTTAAAACCCACTCATTTCAAACCTCCTGCCATGGGCAGGGCTGCTCCTGACCAGCTCAGGCTGCCCAGGGCCCTATCCAACCTGGCCTTGAGCACCTCCAGGGATGAAATCCAGAACATTATGCACAGTAGATTGATTGGGAAACCATGCTAACCAACCTATTGACATGAATAGAAGAGACCTTCATGTCTTATAGGATGTTCCACCATTTGTGTGCAGCACTGTTTTTCTTAGAGTGCTGGTCGTGTTTGCGAAGAGATTTATATCTTGTTCCTTGGAGCTTGGTTTTTAAACACGTGAAGATAGAAAATACATCTTTTTTCTGTTTTGCTTTATCTTGCTAAGGTACTGGGATGGACTTCTGAAATTTTCTTTCTGAATGTTTAAATAAACGTTCTGTTAAATAAGTACTGCATCTGCACACAAGAGGAATAGTTTCTGAACAATTTCTAGAAGCAAGTTGTGCTTAGAAAGTGTGAATGAGGTCATAACCAAGGCAGATGGTATGAAGATTGTCTAGCAAGTCATAAGGTACAACAATAATGCAGTATTATATCCTTAAAGGATGTGTATTTTTATGCTTGCAAGAGCTTTTGTCCACTTAATTTTGTCTTGGGTGATAGCATAATTCTTTAACACATCCTATGGTCAGCATTTAAATAAAAGCCTTGTTTTCTAGTGGCCATTTATGAAAATGCTGTCAAAGAAATAGTTTTGATTTCTGCTAGCATACCAGCTATTAAAAAGAAAATTTACCCCTTTTCTTGCTCAGGTGTTCCAGACCTTTTATTGTCTCTGTTGATGATATCATGTTTCAGAGGCCAGTTGAGGTTGGATCCTTATTACTGCTTTCTGGACAGGTAGGAGCTAATTTCTCTTCAAAGTGCAGAAAAGCTTAGGCCTCTTGTTAGCTCTGTTACTCACTGATCACAAACAGCACATTAAAAGAGAGTATGATTTTTCTCTAGTAAAATGAAGTCTACTACAGTTTTTCGGTGTCAATGATATACTATGAACTATAACTCCTGTCTGAACTGTTTAGGTCTGCTACACAGAAAAAAACTACATCCAGGTTCGAGTCCACAGTGAGGTTTATGATGCAGATACCAGAGAGCACCACACAACCAACATCTTCCATTTCACATTTATGTCAGAGAACGAGGTCCCACGTATTGTCCCCAAAACGTATGGAGGCAAGTATTCAAATAATGCATTGTCATGAGAACTGTGGCAAAGACTTTCTGTTGTAGCACTGATCATCTCATTAGATGAACAATTGGCATTTGAGTAATATAATTATTTCTTGACAAAGGATGCTTATTTTATGCTTTGATGACAATATGGATTGCCTCTTAAGCTTGCCTTTCTGCGTAGTTGCCCAGTGTCAATACTAAGTTCCTCATGTCATTCTCTTTTCTTCACCTTGTTTCAGAGTCCATGTTGTACTTAGATGGGAAGCGACACTTTGCTGCAATCATGAAAGAAATCTGAGAGGCACCGAGTGCTGTGTCAGCTGTGTAAGCAGCATAATGGCTTGGAAGGAACTGTCTGTGAGCCATCTCTGGGGACATGTGCTTGCAGTTCCGAAAACAAGCAAAGCAACTTCCCGCTCCTTTTCAGTGCTGTTTATATATTTGCACATAAATGGCTTTTGTTTTATTCTCTGCTCTTAGGATTTGTTACAATCTACTTTGGCACATCAGTTCTGTTAGGAAACAAGACTGAAAAACTTTAGGTAGATGGCTTCTGTTGACTGCTTTGAAAGATCTCGTTACCCCCCCTTGCTTGTCCCCATCTACCTTCTTTCCCTTGGTAGCTCCCTTTTGTGTTTCTCTGAGAGGGGATGGAATTTGTTTCAGAAAAATATCTGCCATCAGTAGATACACACAGCTGACTTGTATTTGCATGTAAATTAGGTTTAAGGTATTCTTTTTGAGGAAGGACACAGGCGTCTGGGCAGCAGCAGAAGCTCAGAAGTTCTAAGTGTGCACGGTGTCCAAGCAGGTGTTTTCAATCAGTTGGGATTTTACAAGACTGTTGCAGCTTCTGGTTTGGATGGTTTCCTGTCCTCATGGGAAGAGTTCTTCTGTGATGAGGTAGCTGGAAGGTCTGTTCTGATGTTCTAGTTTCATACAGCTGGTCCTGTCAGCCTCTTTGAAAAACTTTTTTTTTTCCTTTGCTGTAACTGCATGCTAGTTCTTGAATGAACGATTTCTTACTGCCTGTAGAGTTCTGATTGGTGAGATTGGATAAGGCTGGGAAATGGTATTGTAAAGCAGAATGCTTTGGATTCTTAGGGCTTGGAGGCAGAGAAGTTCTTTAAAGGGCTTTTCCACTTGCACGCACTCGTTGGCTATCAGTCTTGTGCTGGTATTTAGCCTTAGATGGAATTTGCCACCCACTTTGGGCTCTATTCCCCCCCTCAAAAATAGGAATGGCTGTGTCTGATTGATGTAAGAATTATATGTGCAGAGGATCTGCGCTAGCAGATGGGTGAAAATGATGTGACAACACAGATGGATGAAACAAGTTGACAAACTAAATCAGAGGGTCGTGATTTTTATTTCAGTGTAAAAAAGATTTAAAGATTTAGGAGCAGCTTTCCTTGATCCTAGAGGAATAGTGTGAAGTTAATGGCTCTTAAAACTGATTGCTTTTTCTGTAATGAGACTACTACAATAATGATGTTACACATCTGCCTTTTCTTTCTAAGAATTTGTTGCCTGTATTTATAGGCTAGGCAGCTTTCCATTGGCGGAACCAGGGCTGTTATTTCATCTGGTTGGAATTAATGCGCTGCAGAGATAACAAATTCCTGGCTCCTTAGATTTTTCTCTTTGGTTGCTGATTCATATATCAGTTATTTTCTTTAACGGTTAATGCCACTGTGGGTATGTATTATATTTTCTGTTTTCCTTATTTCTAAAACTCTTTGAAAACTGAATATACTTGACTGACCACACAAGTAGAGAACTGAAATTCTATCCCAGCTTCTTTCTTCCACGCTGCCTATGTCACTGCTCTGTATTCAGAAATAAGCAGGAATGCAGGATATGGAGAGAGAGCTTTCAGAACCATTTTATTGCTTCTGACTATCTGCAAGTTTTTATCATTGATCCAGTGGTCCTACATGGCTTGCATCTGCATAGCAATTGTAAGTTAAGGGGGCACCAAATTGTTCCTTTGCCTTTTCTGTTTTATTTAAATATGAAGTTATCATCATTTCTAAATTCAGCTTCTGGGAGGGGGTGGGAGAGAAGAAAAGGAGATGGCAGAGTCTGAAGTGAAGCAGGATGGGTGTGTAATAGTTCATGATAACCATTTACTGCAATCACAGTAGTTATAAAGATATATTTACAGCTATGCAGACCTCGTGTGTTTATATATACATATGTAAAACATGTAAAATGCATCTTTTACTATATAGAAATATAATTTGTTCTTGCATGTTTTTAGTCTGCGGCAGTAACTCCACACTGTCACCCTCTTTGAAAATAGGTAAATGAATCTTGGTTCAAGGAACATTATTTATGCATGTCTCTGTGTACCTGTGTATATGAGATGAAAATTATTTGGTTTTAGATCTTGCATTGAGAATAAAAACATTTTACCATAGTAATTAATGCTAAGTTTGTATTGGAGCCTAATGAGCAACCCCTTGCTGGACTTGGTCTAGAGTTATTAATTGAAAATCTTTGTACTGATAGCTAACATATCTGGCTGGAGCTCTATAGCAGGAAATAGATGTTTCAGTGCTGTTGTGCCATGGAGTACAGAGAGGAGGGGGGCTGTGGGAGCTGGATGGCCTCCTCTCTGCCCTTCTCAGTTAATGTTGTTGTAGAAGGAGAACTCTGTGATTGGCTGAATGCCCAAAAAGCACTTTGTTTTCAGTGCCTCTATTTTTCTGTGTTTAAAAAACAACCTTCCTGTAACAGCTTCTGGTAGCACCTCTTCAAATATTTGTGATACTGTGGCAGCTAAGTTACAATGTAAACCTGCTGCAGCTCATAAAGCACTGACCAGTGAGTGAGGGATTTAGTTCAGAAACTACCTCTAAAATCACTGCGTGTCTGATTGCTTTTGCTGTATGTTCAGCCTTTAGTGACAGATTGGTTTGTTGGTCCTCCTCTGAATGCATTTTAAAGTTGGTGTGTGAGACAGTACTGCTTCACCAGCTAACAGGAAAAGAAGGGAGTAGAGGTCTTGGCCCTGCATCTGGGCATGACACGTTCCCAGGTATGCTAACAGGACCGTGGGCACCCCTAACTAAGGGCAGGAACCAGCCTTGCATGTAGAAGAGGCAAGTGGGTTTCCATACTGCCTCAGCATTTCATTAGTATGAATGAGTCAGAATGAACTTCAGATGTTTAATTGCAACTGCCTCTGCTCTGCCTTTGTCAACTGCAGACCACATTGACACTGATATATGCAAACTCTACTTATTTTTCTTGGTTTTGCTGGAAGATCTCCAAACCTCCACATGCTGGCTGTATCATGCTAAGTGTTAAGCAGTCACCCCAGACTCTGAAGTAGCTGCTATCACAGCATCATCCTTAGTTACATGATTGATTTATTGCTATTTTACTGCATTTATCAGGCAGGTATGTAATATGAAGAACATAATCCTTCCAGCAAATGTCAGTGCAGAGTAGAGCTGTACACTTTCAAGAGCTTTATCACTCTGTTCACATGCTGTTAGTTTATATTCTGCTTTCCGTCACTGCTTCCTTGATGTTTCCCTAGAGATAGGGGAACCGTTGCCTGGAGTGCTCTGAGTTGTTTCTCATGCTATTGTACGGTGGAGGGCGATACAGAAATCAACTGATGCCATTAAATGGCATGTGGTGGCCCAGAGTGCTCTGAAATAAAGTTCTCAATAGATTCATTAGAAGGGCAGTGGCTTTAGTAGGCAACAATAAGCAAGACTCTCAGCTTACCTTTCATTTTAAATCTCTGCAAATCCTAAGAATCCCAAAATGTTCTTCAGTGTTTTTTTTTCTCAAGTTTCCAATATTCTTTCATTCATGGAACTAGCTGCCAGCTATCATCTCTCTCCCCTCAAACACCGATGTGTCTGTGTTTTTTTATTCAGGCTTGTCTTTCCTCAGCTTCCCTGCCAGCATACCCAGATCTCTTTGTAGAACCCCATTCTCTTTCCATGGAAATAGCATTTCAAGCCTGTAATGTAATATGGGGAGTCAAACCTTTGCTTAAGGGCTATTTCATAGAATTGTTGGAAGGGACCCTTGAAGTGCCATCTGGTCCTACTCTCCCCTGCAATGAACAGGGACACCTACACTTGATCAGGGTACTCAGATCCCTGTCCATCCTGACCTTGAGTATCTCCAGGAATGGGGCATCCACCACCTCTCTGGACAACCTGTGGCAGAGCTTTTTTTTTTTTTTTTTTCAGTAAACATTCTTGATCCTGTTTTCTCAGCTTGGGCTTTGTCCAGCTTTCCATGTTTGCTTTTTGTTTGATGCTGTCACTGTGATCTGCTACAGCAATAAAGCCTGTGGTTTTGTTTTCTGACTTGCTACTTACCTGGCTCAGCAAGGAGCGTGTAGGTGGGCACGCATTCAAAACACGGGTGATAGCTTATTGCTGTTTTGTAACATCTCATTAGCTGCCTTAGTGTAACAGAGACTCTTGCTGCTAGCACTCGGTGTGAGTGATCTGGCTGGAGGCAGGCAGGTGTTGCTGGAGAGCAGGGCACAGCTGCTACAAGCAGGCACATAGCTGAAGCTTGTTTTATGCCTTTGGCTGCTTATGACCAGCCATGAATGACTGCACCTGCATTAGTCACGCTGCCGTGGCCTGGAAAATGTTGATAATATTTTAGGTGCTTCAGGCTTGTCAAAGGCTTTAGGCAAAACCCTGAGTAAAATCAAATGGCTGACTAACAACACAACAACACAGTTACATGAGAAACCTGCTCTTTACATGCCACCCTCCAGTCTTGGAGATGGCAGGGGCTGCAGCAGCATGTCAGCAGCCCTTGGCACTTTTCTTCATACAGCTGTGCCTCTGCCACAAGCTCCTCCTTTCCACAGGCTTCTTGAGGATGGGGTGGTGGTGCTCAGCGTCCCTCTGCCTGAGTGAAGCATGCACTTAGCTACTACCTCAGAACTGAAGCTAAGGTCCAGCAGCTGCATGTGCTCCCCGTCTGCAGTGACACAGCTGGGTAGTACTCACCAAAGTTTACAAAGCCAGTAACTTCATGGTGAAAACAAAGCTGCTGGGCTAGTTCTGCGGAACCTTAGTGACGTGTGTGCACAGGGACAGGTATTGGATGGTCTGGTGGGGGAAGAGGAACTGAGGTCTCAGGAGTGTGGGGCCCAAGGCTAGAATTGCAGTGTTACTGGATTAGAGCTGGGGAGAAGACTTTTCTGCCTTCTTTGCAAGGATGATCTTGGTGAAGGTCGTCTTTGCTCTCAGGTGATCTTATCCAGCTGCACAAACACTAGAATGTCACATTAAAATGAGGGTGAAGTAGGAACAAGCAATAAGACATGCTTATGGAAGGGATCTCCAATGCACAAAAGGATTAAGTGTGTCTTACAAGGTCATTGTTTTTTTTTTCCCCTTGAAAGAAGAAACGTGTGTACGTGACCCACAGGAGTTTCTGAAGGCCACTGGGCATGTCAACACTCACCTTGGGGTTGCTCCCTTACAGCTAGGAGCTATGGCTAATGAGAGAGGCAGAGCAGAACGCTAACCAGTATGAACCTCAGTACCAGTGTGAGACCTGGGAAAATGCAGATCATCTGTAATGGAACTGATCTTATCAGCATATCAGCTACAAATACAAGCATGGAAGAAAAAATCCTGGTTCATCTCTTGAATTTGATGAACTAGAATAGCAGTGTTTTATTTCATGCAGTTATACTGAGTAATGAAGCCTAGGCTATGTGCAGAGGAGCTTAATGAAAAATATCTTCTAGCTTTGGAAAACTGAAAATTTAATTCAGCAACTGTATTTCTGGCTTCAGGGTTAGCTGCCATTCCCACCTCACTATGGTCATACCACAACCAAATGCCTGTTCTGTAGTTCTAACAGCATGACTAAGCAAATGATATTTGCAGAAATTAAGCTATCTATCAATAGCAAAACTTGTGAATCTAAGCCCAAGGTGCTATGAAAGATGTGCTTCAGGAAAACCAAGCACCTAAACAAAACTTAAAGGGTAAACGTGTATTTCACAAGCATTCTCTGATAATATAGTATAAATACTATATTAGTATATATCTAATATCTAACAGGTATTTGAGCTACCAGAGCTTTAGTTGTCTGCTGCAGATATATATTAGTCACACTCATGAAAGTTAAGAAAATTAACGAAATTTTATTGGCAAAAATCAAGTTGAACGTGACCTAAGTAATTAAATGGAAGTCAGCCTCAGTTTAGTTTATCAAAATACTTCAGTTTTCCAGCTGGATCTGGAATTATCTGCACAAGAAAGAAAATGAAAACGTTAGTCTAAAAACAAAACTATGCAAATGCAAGAACTTGTGAATCCAGGACAGTACAATACTTCAAAATATCATAGAACGGTTGATTGAAAGGGACCTTAAAGACTACTCAGATCAGAGACCTGTGGTTTGGGTAAGGACATTTTCCACTAGATCAGGTTGTCCAAAACCCCACACAGACTGGCCATGAAGTGCCTCCAAGGGACATTTCTGTGCAGCCTGTTCCAGTGCCTCATCACCCTCTGAGTAAATTTCTTCCTAAAGTCTAATCTAAATCTCCCCTCTTTGAGTTTAAAACCATTCCCCCTTGTCCTGTCACTACATCCTTTTGTAAGGAGCTTCTCTAGCTTTCCTGTAAGCCTTCTTCTGGACTGAAAGGCCACAATGAGGTTTCCCTGGAGCTTTCTCTTCTTCAGGCTGAACAAGCCTAGCTCCCTCAATCCATCTTTCTAGGAGACATGCTCCAACCTTTTGATCATCCTTGTGACCTCCTCTGGACTTGCTGTTGATACAGCCCAGGCTATGTTGCCTTTCTGGGCTACAAATGCACAGTGCCAGTTCATGTTTTTCATCAACCAATAAACACCAAATCTTCCTCAGGGCTGCTCTTAATCCATTCTCTGTCCAGACTGTATCTGTGCTTGAGATTGCCCAAGCATTGCACTTGGTCTTGCTGAACAGCATGAGGTTCACGCGGGCCCAGCTCTCAAACTTATTAAGGTCCCTCTGGCTGGCAGCCCTCCCATCCAGTGTCATGACCACACCATGCAGGTTGATGTCATCAGCAAACTTGCTGAGGGTGCACTCAGTCCCATATCCATTGAGCCATTGACTGCAACTCTACAAGTGTGACCATCCAGGCAGTTCCTTATCCATCAAACCCATTTATCTCAAATTCAGAGACAAGGACGTTGTGTGAGACAGTATCAAACGCTCTGCATGAGCTCAGGTAGATGACATCAGCTTCTCTTCCCCTATCCACCAATACTGTAACTCCACCACAGAAAGCCAAATTTTTCAGGCATTATTTGCCCTTAGTGATGCCATGCTGATTGTCACTAATCACCTCCTTGTTTTCCATGCATTTTATCACAGCTTCCAGGGAGATCTGCTCCATGATCTTGCTGGCCATAGAGGGGAGACTGACTACTCTGTGCTTCCCTGTCTTCCTTCTTCTCCCTTCTTAAAGTTGGGAGATATGTTTCCTCTTTTTCAGACAGTGAGTACTTCACTGGATTGCCACATCATCTCAGATATGATGCATAGTGGCTTAGCAACTTCATCAGCCAGTTCCTTTAAAACCCGCAAATGCATCTCATCAGGATGCAAAGCCAACACACAACAACCGCTGGAGAGTAATTTATCATTTGACCTGATAATAGATTACTGTTCATCACTAAATATACTTAATGGGAGTAGCAAAACTAGTTAATTAACTGGGAAAGAGAGAGTGCAGCCTACCAATGTAGCATTTTGGCAGTTGAAAGCAAATACCTTTATGCTCCTTGCCCCAGAAGCAAGATATTTTAATAAATTAGTTTCTATAATCAAATGCCTTAGAATTTACTTACAGTTCTTCCCTTGGCCACCACACTCTCATGGTTTCCTCTGGTTTGATCTAATTAAATCAAACGCATTTACAAGGCATGGCTACATCTTTGAGAAAGTATCTGAACTACCCTGCTATTTAAGTTCCTTCATGTTTTGCAGAGAAGAGAAAGACAGCTGCTTACGTGGCAGTTTTAAAACAGTACTATTGGACCTCTTCTCAGCATTTTGATGTGTTTTTAGAAAATACGTTAATGTTGTATTATTTAGGAAACCCGTGGCTAGGGCAGGCAGAACTCTGCAGTGCCAGAATGTGTCTTTCTGTTAGATCAGCCAGCCCTCTTTTCACCTTACAATTTTAAAATCCAATTAGTTGCGCCCACTAAGACTCTCCTCTGCTAGCTGCAAAGAGCTGACTCATAGACTGCAGTCGTCAAGGAAAATTTTCACATACAGTAAAGAAACATTCCACTGTTTTTATTATCACTTAAAAATGCTCACTACTCTCCGTATTTACAGGCTACTGGGATCTGCTTTCAGTTGAGACAGCTCTTAAACAACAATGCTCGGTCATCACCAAATGGTTTAAAAGAAAGCCACATTCTCAAATTAACGACAGTGATCTCATCTGACCTAAGCAGCTCAGACCTCTACTAAAAGCTTCATTATCCTGCTGAAGCTTGATCCAAGCCCAGAGAAAACAAACAAGTTCAATGGGTGTTTATCTGAACCCCAGCTCTTCTGCTTGTGTTGACATGTGGGTGAGTATCAACAAACGCACAAGAGCTTTTGAAAGGCAAAGCAGTGCTCTCTGCTGGAGACGTGATAGTGGCACACTGTCTCTACCAGATTCTTAAGCAGACTGTGAACACTTGCATCCTTTTTCATGGCAGTGCCTAGGATCCACAGAACCAAGAATTTATATGGCTGTATAACTGAGAAGACAGGACAAAATCAACCTAATCTTAACCTTTCAATTTCCACTCAAGCTTTAACTACAATGAACTGACTCCTATCATCTTCTTCAGAGTTGCAAAGATTCTGGATTCGACTTTGGAGGAAATTATCTTGGTGTTTTCTAATAGGATATGCATTTAAATATGAACAGTGACTTACTGTTTCACTGCCAGGTTTCCAACCAGCAGGGCAAACTGGAGGAAAAAGAAAAAAAAGACAAAGTTTTTACAAGTATTTTGACACACACTTCCTTTTCTGAATTTCCTTCATGTTCTCTTCCTGAACTTGAAGTAGAACACCACTTAAGTGTCAGAAATAGGATCTACAAATAACTGATATGCAGCCTTCTTTATACATGGGATGGTGTCAGTAACACAGTTCATAATTGGTACCATGTTGCACTTCTGTTAACTGAAAACTGTATCTCTCTGGATGGATGCCTGCAGCTTGGTTTAATCTTCATGCTGTTTCAGGCAAAGCACACCATCTGAAGATAAACACCCATTCTGTTTAAACACAGAAGTTTCATGATAAAGTTCAGGTGACTACACACCTATCTACCTTTCTTTAAATGGAACAGTGGGATGACAGCACACAGTTAATATGCAACGCGACTAAAAGCTCGATGGCTATCTGAACAGTTGTACATTCCACATTGAAACTCTCATCTGTTGTGATGCTTCAGCCACTGTCATTATGCCTTACTACACTGCTTTGAGGTGCTCTGTCAGATAAAATACATCCCATGCAATTCAGGAATTGTGAAGAACTTTTCCTCCTGTTCTGTGTAACAGATCCAATAGAAGCACCATGGAGACTTTGTAACTAAGAAAAGGAGATTAACTTCCTCACTCAGATACAAATATCCTAAGTACCAGCATTTAGCTTTATGAATTCTGTATACCAAAACATAACG